GAAGCAAAGACCAGAGATGTCTCCTTTGTTTTATGCATCAGGATACTGTATGTCAGATTGAAGGATTTTGTTCCTTTAAAGTTTCATAGTGCTAATAAACCATCTGGGCCTAGGTTTTTCTGTGTGAAACTACTGTTTCATTTTCTTTAGTGAGTTTAAGACCACTATTCTGTTTCTAAACATCTGTGTGAAAAAACTTTCTGAAGTTATAGTTTTCAAAGAACTCACTCTTTTTATCTGTAGTTACAAATTTATTAGCATACAGCTTATAATGGTACACTTCTATCATCTATTATGCCTTTATGAATATCTCTGAGATCTGTAGTGATGCCTCCATTTTCATTCCAATTATTTTTTATTTTGGCTTTTTCAGTCTTTATCAGTGTTTTATAGAATTTTTAAGGAGCCAACTTTTGGCTTTGTTGATCTCTATTACGTTTGTTTCCTGCCTTATTCGTTTGCTCTTATCATTATTAGTTCTTCCCTTCTTTTTGGTGTTTATTGATTTTGCTAATTAAAAGCCCAGCCCATTTTTTTAATCTCTTCTTTTCTCCTATTCATTTTTCCAAGCATGTCAGTCTATCTGCCCTCTCAATATGCCTCCTTAACTATTGCCTTAGCTACATTCCACAGATCCCCACACAGCATTTCCTTAACAAAGTTGAAGGGGTTTTAATTGCCAAGACTTCTTTTTCTTATGGATTCAACATATTTATTAATTCTGAATTATATGGAATTTTTATAAAGATCCTTTTTGCAGTGCTTTCTACCTTAGTTGAATAGTGACCAGAGATTTTGTATTACTAGCACTCCTTTGAAATATATTTAGACTTGCTTAATTTGGAAGTATGTGGTTTTCATATTGGTCCAAATCCACGATTGAAAAAAAAAAAACATGAATTTGACAATTTGGGGATATGGTGTACATACACAGCACACACATGCCAATGTATACACTATTTCAAAATTTCTACATATTTCTTGGTATTTTCTCATTTCACTAATTACTGACAGAGATGTATGACTTTGATTTTTGGCATTTTTGTCTTTCTCTTAATTTTGTCTCAAGCCTTTTAAGGAAGTCCAAGGAGATGTTCCCTTCGCTGAGCTGCAGAATGGAGTAGTAGTAGCAGCATGGCTGATTCAGGGGTAGCTTACAGGTCAGGGTTGACAGTAGGAAATACTGATATGGAATTGGTTTCCCTTGTATAAATGGAGACAACTCCATTCTGGAACAATAGAGGTCAGGCGGAAAACTTCCCTGTGGGAGGTAAAGTAGTAATTACAACGGGCAGCAAAGAGGTCAGCCCTACAGGTGTGTGGAAATGGTCAGGAAGGCAAGGAGAGGACAGATGGGCAGCAGGAAAGGTGTCTGTGGCTTGACTGTGTTAATAATAAAATATCAAGATTAGGTGAGCAGATGTCAACTGCTGTAATGAAAAAAATATAAATCAACCAGACCTGTCCCCAGAGCCAGTCTGTTGACCAAAAGGAAGGCCTGAGGACTGGAGGAAGGGTGGCTCAGTGCTAAAGAGATCTATAGCCGTTTACCAGACGGAAGACATTTACCACCTAGAGAAGGGAAACAGGACCATCTTTCTGGGATATAGGACCTCGTTTTTTGGTTTAAGATGGGGATTGGCAAGTGTTATTATTTATTTGGTCAAAGGTCAGAAACAACTGTTTTAYGTTTTCTAGGCCATAGGTTCTCTTACAACTAATCAACTTTGTTATTGTAGTGTGAAAGCACCCACAGACAGTAACAAATATTGATGGCTATATTCCAATAAAACTTAATTTACAAAAACAGACAGCCAGATTTGGCCCAGGATTTCCTGACCTCTGGTTTTGGACATAACCAATTTTTTTTCATAAAAATCTCATGCATGATTGAAAATATGTATAGTCTCCAATTGTGGGGCTTATTACTTTGTATTTTGCAAATTAGAACAACACATTTAATTATGCTCTTTAAGTCCTGTATTTTATACATTTTGTGGGATTTGCTTTATCTATAACTTGTTTTTTAAAAACCTCCTAATATGGACATGATTTTGTCCAATTTTGCTTTGTGATATTTGAAGCTATGTTATTAGGTGCATGCAAGTTAAACATCTTTATTCTTCCTGGCTAATCAAAATGTGTATCATCTTGAAATAAATCTTATTAACTTTGCAGGAATTTTTGCCTTGAGCTAAACTTGAGATCAATATTGCTACATCAGCTTTCTTGTGGTGTTTTGTTTGCTGACATCTATTTTTCATTCTTTATTTTCAATTTTTCTTTGCCTTTATATTTTGGTTGGTTTCTTATCAATAGCACAGAGCACAAATCCTAAGTCTCAGCTTCCTGGAAGCCAAAGCAAATGGGAGAATATTTACTGAAAAGATGCAGTTAGGTTGTCTGCAACATATTTTCTAGTTGTGACAACCTACATGTATCTGACAAATGGGGCATTCCAAAGTACAAGGGTGTCTCTGAAAGCAGTTTTACTAACCCTACAGCTTCTTAGGCTCACACAACACTGTATTCTCATTGGAATTCTATCAGTTACTCACACTGATTATTTGACAATAGCTAATTTGGCTTTCAGTAAGTACTAGCTATGCTTATTAGCAACTGGAAGCAGTGTGGCAAGAAATGGTCAGGGTTCCCAGCACGTCTTGTTCCCTGGTCTGACCTGAAGCTCTCTGTCCCCTTGCTCAGCCATGTTGGTTCACTCGCTGTCATTGCTGAACTCAAGGTGATTGGAACCCGAGGCTCTAACAAAGTATGCCTTTGATGTATTAAAGGGCCTTGTTTTAGAGGAGGTAGAAAGATGCCACTTAAGAAGTAGCAGAGCCACATCACCAGCGAGACTCTTCTGTCTCTAGATCCTTGCAACTGAAATATTTCAGACCTTAACATTAGGGGCTAGGGAAATAACTCAGTTGGTAGAGAGCTTGCCTCGCATACACAAGGCCCTGGGTTCAATCCCCAGCACCACCAAAAAAAAAAAAAAAAAAAAAAAAAAAAAAACCCTAACAAAATCTTATAACCTTATTGGAAGGAATCCCAGGTACACTTGGTCTCACTGTCAGAGAAGTTCAAGGTCATGATGATTTAATAAAATTCTTTTCCCCCAAGCTACATTTATCCCCTAGGCTTAACTAAAAGGCAGAAGCCCAGGCTAAAGGGTCAGGATGACCTTATTTAGGGCTCCACCCTTTACTAGCCATGACTTTAGATGAACTAGTATTTCTGAATCTTGGTTTGCAGGGCAACAATGCCATTGGGTCTCTGATGACAATTAAAGGACACAATGTATGGGCATTGTACCAACACAAATGGCAGTGCTCAGGAAAACACGAAGTGAAGCTGCTGTTATGCATGTGTATGCTTTACAGGTGAGGCACAAACCCAGAGGTGACCTGAGGCCAGGCAGGGGCTTACAGCTCAACATTTTTCAATCAGCTGTAGGTGAGATCTTGCTGTACTCATCTCAGCTCCCCACACATGCTTAACTGCTAGTTCCTGCTGTGTGACCACCAAGTTGAATTAACAAGAAATGCCCAATGTTTCAGCTAGTGTTTTTTTTTTTTTCTTTTTCCTTTGTACCCTGCTGTGGCCCATGGGATCTGGCTTCTCAGTTTGTGCCTGGCATCCACAGACAAGTTGTTCTGCAAAATTTCTCTCAATTGTGCATATGTGTGGCAGGGTACTGGGGTTTGGTTGGTACTGAACATGTGCTAAGTAAGCACCCTACCACTGAGCTATATCCCCAACACAGTTTTTGTCAATTTTAATGAAGCACTAAAAAGAGACAGGCAAACAGATGGACTGACTTGTGACTGTTTTTAAGAAACTTTGTTAGATATGATAATGTCAAATAGATCAAGGCTTCAACCTCCTTTTCTGTTTTATTTATTTGAGGGTGGGACAGAGATATGGGGAATTAAACCCAGGGGCACTTTACCCCTGAGCTGTATCTCCAGTCCTTTTTAATTTCTGAGACAAAGTCTCGCTAAGTTGCTGAGGCTGGCCTTGAACTTGTGATCCTCCTGCTTCAACCTCCCAAGTTGCTGGTATTACAAGCGTGCACACCACTGAGCCTGGCTACTTTGCTCTCTCTTTCATATAATTTCCCACAACACACAGAGCACATTTCATTCTCAACAACACACACTTTTGCAGATAAGAAAGGTGACCCACACTTTCATTTTCTTTATTTTTCATTGATACCGTATGAATACAAAGTTTCTAGAAAGCTACAAAATGTCTACCACTTTATCAAGAAGGCATCAAAATGTGTCACTTTGCAAAGACATGAAAACACCTGCAGGAACTGACACAAAAATAGCATTTTTAGAGTGATGAAATAATTGCACTTGACTGTCATGGATATTAAAGTTATCACACATATGTACCGCGAAAGCTAGAATACATTTTTTTTTTTTACAAAGCACTTTATAAAAAAATTCTCTGCACACAACCCTATAATTTTCATATAACTATCATACTAAAGATAAATTCACTTTAAAGCCAACACTTAGAACATTTTTAAACAAAAAGGTACCAGTACCTAAACACAAACGTTAACGAATACAAGAATACTGTACTGCCCAGAGGCTTAACCAAATGCCTTTTGAAAATTTCTGCAAATAGGTTGAGAAAATGTGTGTGAATTTGCCGCCCCACCCCCAACCTCTCCAATCTACCCAAGAGGAACCCAGTTACCCAGAGGCAGGTTCCCCAGCCCAGTCCCAACAGCAGTACAATATCAAAGGAACCACTGACCAGATGAAACGCTTACATCACAAGCCCATCCTACTCACGCGACACGAAGACACAGACTGTGAGAATCCATTAAGTCGTTTAGAATGTGAACAAACACACGTGGCAAAAACCAATTTACATAAAATTTGAGCGTATTAAAGAAGTAAAGGCTATTCAGGTTTCTTTTTTAAATGTTACAAAAAAAAATTTTTTTTTGTCATTTTTCAGGCACGTACTGTTTTTACTTTTTTTTTTTTTCCCTTGTTTGCAGTCATGAAGCCTATTGAAAAAGGCCTACAGAAGTAAATATTTCAAGGAGGTAACAGGGAGATGTACATCTTTTTTGAAAGAAGTGCAGTTAATATCTAATTTACACAGTGAAACTAATCACAGAAAACGATTAATGCCGAAAAAAAAAAAAAAAAGAAAGAAAAAAAGAAAAAGAAACCCAGGGATTGGTTTCCAATTGATTGACACCTGTATTCTGTCCACCTCTCTGAGAGAAAGGGGAAGCTGAATCAATCTCCTTGTGGAAGGCAGACAGAGTCAACCCAAGAGAGGTGGAATCTAACGGAATCTACCCTATCTGATGATGAAGAGAGGGAGTGGAAATGCTATCTCTAAACTGGAAAGGATGCATCGTGACTTGATACAAATTCACAGAGTAAACAGTTACAGCTTAGGAAGTGGGGCAATAAATACAAATATTTCATCTTACTTAATGGATGATGACTTCAGTGAAACTACCCTCTGCAATGTAGTCAACTTTGAAACATAAAACCTTCATTCTGAATGACAAAAGCCAAGAGTTTAGGAGAAAACTATTGTCAAAGGAAACACAGTAACAGCTGAAAAGCGAAGCAGGAAAACACACATTTGACTAATTCCTTCCAAGTTGTGGTATAGTCCTGACAGGGAGGAGCAGAGAATTTGAGCAGCTGACTGTAACTTGTATAATTTTCCTTTTCATTTGCTAGTGTTTTTTTTTTTTTTTAAACACAGAAATTTTATAAATATATACTCACAACTTGGGGTGGATAGAAGCATAAAAACCACTCCTGAAACATCAGTTCAGAGAGGCTCTTCTTAAAGACACCAGGTAGAGACAGATGGAACATATGTATTAAGAGGCTTTCAAAGTTGTCTGTTATTTTTACATCTATATTAGCAAAGAAAAAGACTGATTTTTTTTTTCCTGGCTTCTTTTTGGCTGGTGTTTTCTTTTTCCTTTTCCTTTTTTTTTTAACCTCACCTCTATCAGTTTTCCCATGTTACACAAGGTTTTGAAATAAGCCGACACAGACTTTTAAGGAGTTGCCCCCTTTGAAGGCTGGAACATTCTTTGAAAATGCCAAATTTGTGAATGGTGCTCTTTGGAAGTTTCTCATAGCACATCCATACACAACACTCAGAGGCAACACTTTTGCCCTAAGAAGAACACTTCAATTGTAATGACCCTAACACATTTTTGTTCTGCACTGTCATCTCAGTTTGAGGCTTCCAACTTTCGAAATGGTGTCATTGTGTAAACCAGATAAGTGCACACTGTCATTTGAATGGAAAGGAGTCTCCACGGAGACTGAACACGAACACACGGAGAAGGCAAAAGCTGTAATATCTGTCCACCGGCCAAGATTCTGTTGTTTGTGCAGAAATTCCTTCATCTGGACGCAGGGCTGGGTGACGGGCGGAAACGGCACGCCGGGCCATGGGCACACACAAACACAACAGTTTCTGGGTTGCTCCTGCAGCGGTGTGCTATGGCGGGTGGTGGTGGGGCCCCCACTGGCAGGCAGGCGGCGACCACGTGGTGCTCTTGTGAACAGAGGCCTGTGGTTGGTTACTCATCCCGGTAAACCAAAGGCATTACGGTGATCTCAAAATATTTTTGGTCTCTCTACAAATTATCGTTATTATGGCAGCCCTTTTCTAAGCTGGAACCTCAAACCAAAGGCACTTTCATGCTGGAGTGCAGAAGATTCACAAATAGCTAAGTATTTGGTCATGAATTTAAAAGGCAACAATAAAAGTACAATTTGCTTTTCATAGTAAACTACAAAGTTGCAACCTTCTGTTTTGGTATATACATTTGAGAGCAGTGGTCAAAGAACAGACTTGGATTCCGGTTTCAGATTTCAGGCCAAGTCGTCAGTTTCCTAACGAACTGAAGAAAAATGGTGGGCTTCAAAACCAAAACGAAAACAATTTTTGCTTGTCCTGTTTCAAATACTGGGCCAATTGGTAAGTGGACAGGGAGTCTAGGCGCGAGAAAAGGCTGGCGGTACGACTAAGGTATTGCTAAGGCACTGCTTACTGGAACGCTTTGGCAGCTCTGAATTGAAAACTTCCTAAAAAAGTAACAGTAGTAAGAGAAATGCTTCCAGCTTACAAAAGGGCTCACGGTTCCGAGGCAGCCTTTTGCACTACAGACCCGACACGCAACGTCTCCAAGATTTAAGGCTTTTCAGAAATGACACGTGCAGGGATTTGCCACAGAAACATCAACATAGAGAAATCAGCAATGCAGATGTCCCCCTAATGTCACAGGTGTGAACACCAACAAACAATCAGCTCTACTCTTCGTTGGGACAGGTGTAGTGTACCAGAGCATATACAAAATTATACAAATGATATGTACCTGGTTTGTAAAATTGACTGTCGTGTGATTTAAATAATTAACGGTTGTACAAAAACAATGGCTAAAGCCACCACAGTATTGAAATCTAATGAAGACTTGGGTTTAAAAGTCACCTGGGGACTTTTAAACACCAAGTGTTCAGACTGCTTTTTTATTTGGCTGGTCTGAGGGCAGGACTTTGCTGCTGGGATGCTTAGGAAATAAAAATTTGACTGAGAGCCTGTGGCAGGTGCATGGTCCTCAAAGGAGGCGAAAAGGCTCATCAGCTTTCCTACCTGTGCTGGTTGCTCAGACAGCCGCGGTCAGGCGCAGCACTACCCCGGGAGAAGCAGCATGAGTGACATGGTGCTTCTGCACAGGGGATTCTGACTCTCCCCTCTCTTCTGAACCAACCCTGTCCAAATATTCTTAGGGATCATGTAAGCATAGAGCACCAAAGAAGAATGGCCTCGAGTGGAAGAGGCCAAGGATTAGAGAGGCAAGCGCCCTAGAAGTCCTCAGCCTTACTTGGTCACGAGACAGCTGGGTGACTTTAGGCAAGTCATCTCATCTCTCCTCTGGCCTCAACCTCTTCATTCAAAAAATGCAGGGAAGTAGTATGTTATGCTCTCTCTTAGCTCAAGAAAGAAAAACTCTGCAAGTCCCCTTCTGGAATGGACTCTTCTCCAATCCATCCCCAAAGATGAAAAAAAAAAAAATGTTTGAGAGGTTTCAATAAGTTCTACAAACAGCACTGACTATAAGGCAGAAAGTAGAAGCAGCCGGAGGAAATAAACCAGAAGGATTAAAGGTTTGATGAGGAGGCCCAAGAACTTATGAGAAATAACAAAAACTGCTGGGATTTTTTTTTTTTTTCAAAGCCTCTGGTAACTAAGGGCTGAAGGTCAAATCAGAGAAGTTTTAGAGCAGGAGGAAACATGGACATAATGTCACTTGATCAACATATTCCCACCTGCCTCTTGAAGATCTGATAAAGGCTCCCAGGAGAGAAGATCCTACAGGTGAAATGCAAGGAGAAACCATTACCAATATACAGATGTGGCCTGTAAGATGCAGGACAGTTATTCTTGATGAGGGATGACTGTGTACCCTAGGGGACACTGGCAATGTCTAGGGGACACTTGACTTGTGACAACTGTGCAAAGTGGTGCTACTAAGTAGAGGCCAGATCACTAGTAAACCTCTGATAATGCCCAGGACAGCACCACACAACAAAGAATGATCTGGTCCAAGATGTCCACAGCATCAAGGCTGAGCTCAGGTAGCCTGGACATGCCAAAGATTCTGGCCAGGGACATGTCTTGAAGTGGCTCTGGTTTTGGCATAGGCCTCTCAGGATGGTAGAAATGAATGCCAACAGAACAGAGCCCTGTTCTTCAGCTCCTCCCTAGGCAAAGTTGGCCTCTGAGCTCCAACGTGAAAGCACACTACGTCTCAGGCAAACCTGGTACTGGAGGTCACCAGGAGAGAGCACCTGGGAGAGAGGTGAGGACTAGCTTTGCAAAGGCTTCATTATGGTTTAGGAAACTTTTAAAACACAGACAGAAGGAAGAACCATATAGGAAGCATCAGAGACTTGGATTAGGTATAACGTCACAAGTTTCACCCAAAGGGTTAATTTGGTAGAGACTAAACAAGCAAGCCCAAGTGTTTGGAGTAACTGGACCAGTAGTTAAGACAAGGAAAATATCTGTCCTGATGAAAGCTTTAGTGGAAAATTTTAAAAAAATCTTATAGCTGTTTTAAATGCAAATTTAAATCAAGAGTCATTCTCAAGGTTATTTAGGTAAACCCCCCAAATTAAACTCCAAGGACACTCAGAGAAAGATGTGGGAACCCAGGCAGAAGAGGACCTAGTCTGACCCCGTGAAGACACCTGGCCAGCTATGGCCTTCTCTGCAGCTACTAGCGCTTATCCTGTAGCTGGTCTTCTTGGGTTCTAGAATTTTTGTGCTTTGAAAGTGAATCCCAAGAGTCCCCCTGGCAGCACATTAGAGGTACACTTCCATGTGGGAAAAAAAAACCCAGACATCTCTGCCCCTGAAGTTCTGGGCTGGACTGGCTCTAAAACCACATAAGGTCATTTGCACCTACTCATATAGTCCTTGTCCTGGGGGGGGGGGGGGGGCGTGTATGTGTATGGGGAGTTCCCTTGAGGAAAAATGCAAGACATGGGAGCCAAAGTAACTTTCCTAAGGAGGGGTGTCCGACAGAAGCCATTATGAATATTATGACCACGAAAGACACGTAAGTGCTTGGGCTGAAGACCAGACAGAAGAGCAGAAAACTAGGGCAATTCCTCAGAGGCTGGCTTGGAACCAGGGAACAAAGGCAGGCCTTACTATGTATGGAAGGAAGATGAGCACCACCCTACTGGTTTATGCAAGGATGTGCATTCCAAGTGGGAAAGTTTTGCATGTTCTCTGGTCTTCCCAGTGACCAGTGATGTGTTTGAGAGACATTAGGGTTAGTCTAGTGTTTTCCTTTCATCACAAGCCAAGGCAAACCCTTATACTCATGACCACAAGATATGAGACAATGTACAAGCATGGTCAGAGCACATGGCGGGGTAAGGAAGTGGGTGTGTCAGATGTGGTAAACTATGTTCTAGTGTTGGTGATGTTTTGCACCTTACAAAACTTACTTTATGTTCTATTGTGTTCACATATTCCTGATGGTTATAAGATTATCATTTTCCTCTAAAAAGTCGAGGGGTAGCCCCTTTTCTCTCCCCAGTGAAGCACTTATGAAAATAACCCAAGACACGCGGCCACATGGAACCAACTCTGCTTGGGCAATGCTTTGGAATATGTGTATTGGAAAGTTGAATCTCTCCCAAAGAGAGAACCTCCTGAAGGAGCCTGTTTGAAAAGGAGAGAGAGAGAGAGAGAGAGAGGGAGAGAGAACAAACATTGGGCCTCTTAAACCTAGGTCATACAAGGGCCATTGCATCTTACTGAGAGATGTCTAGAAAATGAATATCCTTAGAGAGAATGTATCTAAGTATAGATGCAGACTGAGATACACATAGGTATCAGCACCTAGCAAACTGAGCAACACTAAACAGATGTTACAAATGTTGAATAACCATGTCTGTATATGTGTACATATGCGATGGCATTCATACACATATACTCATATCAGGTTCCTACGCATATTGGGTCACCAGAAATAAAGAATTTATCCACAGGCTGGTAGGGATACTTACAATTTTCTGGGGAGCAGAGTTGCTAAACCTGATGAGCCTTTTACTTGTTTGGTTGTTGAAATTTCTCTCCCAGCCACAGGATTCTCTATACTTTGCAGCTCACAGTGCAGTATTCATGCCAATTTTAAAATTTTGGTAATAAATTTCAATAGCTCAGATGTTTACTCTTAATAAAAAATTTGGTTGTCCATATAAAATATAACTGCACACACAAGACTATAAACATTGTAAGTTTAGATTTTTCAGTATTTATCTACTTATTGCAAAAAGAGCCATCTTTTCTTTTTTCATTAAATAATCAACCATCACATTAGTACAATACAATTTTACATTTTTAAATATACTATATATGTTAAGGATAAGGGGTGAAGTTTTCTTCCTCTGTAATACCTGTTCAAGAGTTTAATGGATTAGAAGATTAGTTTTAACCTTGAGGAAAGAAGTACAAATTTGTCTCATTAGGAGATTTCTACCAAGCATTTCTTAAGGCTATAGTTTAACATTTGGTTTCAAAAAGAAAGAAAGGTTTCATTTAAAAAATAATTTAGTGAATTACATTCTTTTTATAACTTCCACCCTAATTAGTTACAAAGATAAGTCTAAAGATTCTTAGTTTTGTGTACTAATTTACATTTATATTTAAAGATTAATTTTACTTGTATCTTAAAACAAGAATTTCATGTTGGATAAAAAAAAAAAAGAGAGAGAGAACTAAATACATTTGTGTAAAGGCAGTAAATGTCCCATGGGCAAGGCTCTGTCTTAATATTTTCTACCACAATAAGAAACAGGTCTCTGCAGAGAGTGACCTGGGTTGTTTATTTCCTTTCCCGAGGAATTATGGGCTGCAGATCTGAAGAACACATAGAAACAACTCGATTTCTCTTTACAACTGTACCAGAACTTCACAGCTACAATGATAGTATGAACACATGAAAAAATGACTTCACTCAAACAGGATTTAGAAAAGTTGGGGTGACCTCGGGGCCAGGACACCACCCACGTGGTGAGGTTTACAGTCAGTCGTTCAATAATGGAGAGTGTGTGTGTGCACATAGGTGTGTGTATATACAGATATCTATATATATAAATAATCATGTTCAGTCTTTTACAAGCCTGTAAATATGGTGTTGTGCTCCATGTTCACTATTTGAAACTTCAAATACACAGGCCATGCAGAGGAGAGTTTCTTGTGTATCCCTGTTTGTTACCACCTGTTTAAAAAAGAAAAGAAAAGGTACATATATATGGCACCTCATGGAGGAAGGCACACTCCCGCTGGGTCCCAGGACAATGACTGAATTAGAGAAGAGCAGTCTTAAGTCAAATCAGTGGGTTAGGAATCCAGTCGGCCTCCCTCTGCACCATCTAACACATATTCCGAGAACTTGAATCCCGTCCAAGCAGGATGCCATAAGTAAGAAAGACCTTATAGATGGTCTCTCATCTATTTTCTAAGCTCAAGAAGAGAGCAAAAGAATCAGTGTGGTTTATGTGTTTGGGTATTTTCTGAGGCCTGATTTCTTTATAATTAAGGGAATTTTCTATAATTCTGTCCCACTGTATAACTATTTATCCTAAGCAATTGTGTCCTACTTTATTATTTTTATTGTGTACACACACATATACACACACACACTTACTTATGCAGCTATTCCCCCCCGCCCTGCCCTGTAAGGGGATCAAACCCAGGGTCTCATGCATACTGGCAGGTGCTCTACCACTGAGCTTTATCCCCAGCCCTATTTTAATTATATTTTAAATTGTCAAATAATAAGTGATGTCATGGTACATGTATACATTGATTAACTGGCTAATTAACATATTCATCACCTCACATACTTCTTTGTGATGAAAACATTTAAAATGTATTCTTTCTCCTACCTTATTCTTAAATTCATGCTACATTTTGTTTCACAATAGCCAGTGACAGGCAGGAGCTCTGTGGGTGCCTTGGTCATCACTGTATTCACCAGCAGAGCCTGGACTCAGCAAAATATTTGCCATATAAAGGACAAGGTACAGGTGGAATCATGTCCACTGACACTCTTTCTGTGGGCACAGGCTTTACCTTTCAACATGTATGCTGAAGCACCATCTGTTACTTCTTCAGTTATGGCTCTTGAAGCCATCTCCTTCCTTACCCCGTGGCCACAGCTTCTGGCCCAAGTCATTGCTACCTCCTCTGCTCACTCAGTTGCAGTCCCCACGCCATCCTCAGAGGAAGTTTCTACATGCAAATCCAACTATACTTCCCTACTCAAGCCACTTCAATTACTCTCCTGTTACTTTCTTTTTTTTTTTTTTAAATATTGTTTTAGTTGTAGATGGATACAATATCTTTATTTTATTTATTTATTTTTATGTGGTGCTGAAGATCGAACCCAGGGCCTCATGCATATAAGGCAAGTGCTCTACCACTGAGCTACAGCCTCAGCCCTCTCCTATTACTTTGGTATTTGAATACATTCTAGATTCAAGAGCCTGTCTGGCCCATCCTAGACCTATTTTCCTCCTATGCGTCAGGCTGTTTCCTGCATTTGCTTCCTAGAGGCATTCAAATTAATATGCCCTGACTAAAGTCTCATAATGCTTCTGATTTTCCCTAAAGAATTGTGTGATTTTTTTTCTTTAAATATCCATCTCATTCAGTGGATTATAAATTCCTGAAGATCAGGGACCATGTTTCCCAGTAACGAGCTCAGTGCACAACACACATGATCATTTAATAAATATTTGCTGAATGAATGGAAATTTACACAGTAGCCAACACATATTGATCGCCTTCTCTACATCTACTCAAGCATTAAATGTTTTCTATAGTTTGTCGCATATGACATTCCAACAACTCTATGAGTGAGTGGTATTACTACTCCCCTTGGAGAAGGAGCTGAGGGGTTAATCTGCTCAAGGTTCAACTTGTTCAAGGTGGCCTATTCAATTCCTTTTCCCTCAGGAAGGCTTCTCCATCCTCTTGAACCAGGTCCAATCCTGTCTCTTAGCATTAAGTCCCTCTGCCAGACGCCAGCCAGTAAGAGTTTCCATCCATTTAGTGATAACATGATGAATGCCTGCCTCCCCCTCGTCAGACCCCAGGACGGCTGCCTACCTGGGTAGCTCACCACAGCATCCCTAGCACCCAACACCTATGTATACACTTATAGAACGCACCCAACCCCCTTTTTGGTAAATCTGAAAAACGTCTATCTGTCAAAGCAACATAAATGTTAGCCCTGAGAATTTTCCCACCTCACCATGTACTTCCATGATGCCTGGTACTCCAGCAACCATAACTTTGTATTGTAATGGTCTATTTAACTACTTTTGTCACCCTAAAGGGCATAGATTACTACAGTATAGGCACTCTGCTTTATCTGCATTGCTTCTCAGTAGCTAATACATCTAATCCCATGGTTTAGTTGAATGAATTAAAGCACTCTCAATCATTACCTTTGAGGTGGAGAATGCTTATAAATGGGGCAGAGACTAAGGTCTGAAGTCTTCAAATGCTTTGTGCAAGGTCATAATGTAGTGATTTCATGACTCTAAAATTATCCTGCAAAGTGGTTTTTCTATCAAGTCTTTATTATTGGATCTGTGACCCTGGGGAAGCCTAATATTCCTTACCCACAAAAATGGGAATAAAAATGATCCCATAGTTTTGTAGTGAGAATTTCATAACATAACACTTAGCAAAAGATCTATCTAGCACAGTGCCTGAACCCTCGRGGCTCTATCCTATTTTCTCTGAAAGAATATACCTTGTTGAGGCTTCAACAGAGAAAAGAAAACAAAAATGTTTCCATCAGCCTTTATGTCTGAATGTGACCTCCAAAGAAAACAGCCTACTGCCTTCTTTCTCAGCTCTGTGCCATTGTTGTCACTAGGCCCCACATCGACAGGTTCAGTTCAACTTCTGAATCAACTTGATGCAATCAGATAACCCATTCCATCAGCCAGCATGGTCGGGAATTGGCCTTGATGACACAAGGATTGTATCTAAAATACCCAGTAAAGTCCCTCCAACTTTGTCCAGTTGGAGATTTCATAACGGCCTGTCCCTGAGGAACAGCTAGAAAGCGTAATTTCTCCTGTTCATCAATTAGATGACATGACTTTCATAATCCAGGAGTGCTGGCTTAACTGCAGTTTTTCTAAGGCTAGGATATTTCCAGCAGATTCTTATTGGTAGTTACCAATTCCTCATATCAAAGGAATGTCTAACTGTTTAGTGACACATTGTGAAGTTATTAATCGAACCTGAGTTTCCTGGACAGCCATGCTGGTTCAAGTCACATGTCCTGAGAAAGCACTCCTGACGATTACCTGGGCTCTGTGGGAAACAGGCACTCGGACATTTCCTGGCCATTTCATCCCACTGTGCACTGTGAGGTAGAAAGTCAGGACCTGGGAATAACATCTTCCTTAATGTGCAGAAACAGACAAGGCTGGTTTTTTAAGCATCAGCTAAGATGCCCTCCAAGAAGTGGTGGCCATCCACTCAGAGTTCTGACCAAGAACTGAAACTGTTTATAAAGTCCACAGCAGGATTCTAGCTTGCTCACGTGAATGCTAAGCTGCTGTGCCCGTTCTTTAAATAGCAGAGAAAAATCTCTGACAAGTACTTGCTCCTTGCCAGTGCCCACACTAGAACCACTCAGTTTTCACCAAAAGATCTCTAGAGGAAAAGATACTAATGAATAGCTACTATGAACAGGTATTCCAAATTCTTTTTCCCGATTGCTGGCTTCTGAAGTGTAGAGGCACGTAGGTATATCTGAGAATCCACTAAGTTCTCTCCCTAGAATATATGACACTTACATGCAAAACTGTTTGCCAGTTGCATGCCAGTCTTGTCCCCGTGAACTCATTTGCCAGTCTGCTTATAGCAGTGGCTTTTAGTCACTTCAACTGCCTGGAAAGCTTTAAAATTAAACAAAAAGACATGATGCTGGGCCCCACCTCAGGGATTCATCTGGAGTGGGGCCCAGGCCTCAGATTATAAAGAGTGTCCTGGATAAACTCTTTACTCTTTAATACGTGATAAACTTTTTAATACGTGAAGGGCTTTAATTTTAAAAACAGATTGTTTTTTCTTTTCAACAGTGGTATATGGGAGCTGTATTCTACTGGCTTATGAATGTGATAGTTAATAGTAAGAAATTTCATGAGCTAGACAACAATTGGTAGCTTGAAATTGCTCATGGGGGGTATATTTACACTATGGAAACATGGAAAAAGTATAAATCAGGATTTGGAATGGGGTGCAGGTTTAGGAAAGAGTGCTTAAAAATAACAAAGAAACTGTATCACTGATTGAGAACCACTGACCAAATAGAACCAAAACTCCAGGTAAAGAATTCCTACTCTAAGTATTCTAGTTCTTAATCCTAGTAACAAAGAGTAATAAAGTAAGCTGTCAGAGGGCTGCGTGTGGTATTTTTTTTAAGCCTTATATAAAAAAAAAAAAACTCTTACTGTGTATTTTCTAAGTATAAAATGCTATGCCTTACAACCTTTCCAAAGTTCTCAAATGAAGTCCCCAGGAGGAGTTGGCCTAAAGTCAAACATCACTTAATCCCCTGTATTGCACTGTGTGGGGGACTGGTAGGTTTCCTGTCATGGGTCTTGAGCACATTCATCTTTTCCTTTCCCTTTAGCTGCCCCTTAAGTTTTGCCATATTTTTTTCAATTTGTGAAGAACACTTTCTTCCCTAGTTCTCGCAGGAGAGCTTATATTTTCTTAATATATGTTACCTCTTATAAGGCCTTGCAAATCCTTCATGAAATGAGTCAAGGCATGTTTGAAATTCAAACCTATGGACTCAGCTTCTGCCTCATTTATGATTTGCATTTTACATAGCTGCTGAGACTCAGCTGTGGCTAACACTGGAATTACCCATGGAATTTCAAAAAACACACATGCCTGCGTCCAGCCCTCAGAGAGCCTGAATGAGTGGACCAAGGGTCAGCCTGGGTATCAGGATTTTAAACATTTTCTTTAGGTCTTTCTAACGTGCAGCTGGAGTTGAGAACCTAGGGTCACCAGTTTTTTAACACCACCTGAATTCCAGTTCCGCCAAATTTAGAAACCTCCAGATGAGACCCCTTCTCTTCTAATAACTCAAGCCCAAATATGGCCCAACTTTGCTAGATGGAAGCTGTGAGTTCCACTGCTAGCTGACCACCTGGGGCCCCATCCAACAGTCAAGTTCCCTTGGCTAAGGCCTTGGTGGCTCCCCAGCCACCTTTCTTACTATCCCAAGGAAGCCTTGTGGCAGAATCTGTCTAGAGAAGGAAGAAACAAAAGAATTACCAATAAAATTGTGAAGTTTTCCAAAACACTGTTCATCATATATTTCTCGGGTAAGTGTTTGAGCTTGTGGATGAAGTTGATCATATATTCACACATCGGGGAGCGGTTTATTCTGTATACAAATCGGCCATTCTCAAACCTTGCATACTCCGTCTGTTAAAAGAAAAAAGATTTGAGCATTTTTATACTTTGACCTCAAAATACCAGAAACAGGTATTACTGTCTATAAAAGCATTTTGCTTTTTCAACATGAATTGTCTGTTATGTGCCATGCTCTTCAGGTAGTTGACTTTTAAAAAATATTTTTAAAAAGATCACTGGAAAGATGATACCTTCAAAGAGGAATCTGACAGGTCATTTCAGCAACAAAAAAACCCCCCAAACCCAAACTAGCTGCTTAGTGATTCTCTTCCTGGAGATATGCGAGAGCAGCCCCCAGCAAGTTACAGTTCTTAAAGAGCCCAGAGAAGCCCCTCTTTACTGTGATAAGGTCTTAAAGCCCCAACAACTCATATAGTTAATTTCTCTACTTCAGGAAAAACTGGTCACCTCACATTTATCATGTGGATGGGTGGAAGGAAGGAAGGAAGGAAGGAAGGAAGGAAGGAAGGAAGGAAGGAAGGAAGGACGGGCTAACATATATGCACTTTGAAGACCCTATGGAAGTACTCAGAAATTAAAACCACTTCCAGATCACCCTGGATGAAAAAGGAATTAAAAAGGAAATTATAAGCTGTGAGAAGGAAAATATATCCAAACTTAGGGGGCACAATTAACCTCTACTTGAAGGAAACTTAATGAAGCAGCAGCATAATGTCTTCACCGTTAAAAGACAAAAAATTGCAGAACTAAAGACATGTTTAAAAAAGAAGCACAAACCCCACAAAATAAATCCAAACCACAAAGAAACCAAAGGAAACCAGGAATAGGAAATTAATAAAGATAAAAGCTCAAATCAATGAAACAAATTTAAAATGCAGACAGAATAAATTTAAAAATTGGTTCTTTAAAAGGACAAAACAAAATAAGCCCTTTACACATTTAAAAAGGAGATTAAAGAAAAAAAAAAGAAGAAAAGAAAGAGGCAAAACCACAACTGTAGTAGAGATGAGAAGCCGTACAAGGGCTGGGAGCACAGCTCAGTGCTTAAGAACATGTGCGGGCACAAGGCCTACGGTTTGGTCCCCAGCATGCCTCCCCTACAATGCACCCATGAGATCCAACTGGGTACTTCACATAGCAAAGGACCTAGAGGATAGGGATACTTTCCCAGAAAAACTCAAATTGCTAATATCAAACAAAAAAAAAGAAGTGGAAAAAGTCAATAGATCAATGACTGGAAAAGACCAGGACTAGAAAGTGACTTTAATATCTACCCTTGGAGAAGATACAGAGACTGCAAAGGATGCCAAATTTAGATAGGTGGAATAAGTTCAAGAGATCGATTACACACAGTGATGTTTTAGTTAGTAACAATATATTGTACACTTGAGGACTGCCAAGTATTTTAAGAATTTTCACCCCCCCCCCCAAAAGAGAGTGGTAATGCATATGCTAATTAGCTCAATTTTAGCCATTCCCCAATGTATACATAATTCAAAATCTCACATTGTGTACAATAAATACATTTAATTTTTACTTGTAAATTAAAAATAGATCATTTAAAAAGATAAAGAACAAATTTTAGGCTGGGGCTGTGTCTCACTTGCCTTGTATGTGTGAAGCACTGGGTTCGATTCTCAGCACCACATATAAATAAATAAAATAAAGGTCCACTGATAAAAGATATTTAAAAAAAATTTGTTTCAAAGGTAGGTTTTATGTACTCTTTAAAGAATAGCTATTTTCAATGTTATTTATTCTGTTAGAGAAAAAAAGGTACACATACTAATTCCTTTTATTAAACGAGTATACATTCAATACTGAAACTTGATAGGCTACATTAAAAAAAAAGAAGAATGGAAAAATATGACGAGATGTAAAATATCAGCAAAGAAAATCTAGCAACATATCCAAAAGCAGATAGGAGGAAATGCTGCAGAGGTTCATACCCAGAAACCTCACTGACTCAACTTACATCAACAAATTGGAGAAAAATCATGTAGAAAGAGGTACTCAAAGGCACTTAATAAAATAATGCAGTTATTCCTAATAAAAACCCTAAGCAAAATGGAAATTAAAAGCCCTTACACATGTAATAAATACCATTTATAAAAGCCAATAGTAACCCTAATCATAAATGGTAAAACACCAAATCTATTTCTACTAACATCAGAACTATACAAAGATGCCTACATCAATATTGCCTGATACAACTTCAATGAAATTTTAGCAAATGAAAAGTGAGAAAATAAAAAATTTGACATAAACATGGGCAAAGAGGAGAATAAATTAGGGGTTTTTCTGCTATAACTAAGATTATGTATACAGAAAACCCAAGAATCTAGGGAAAAACCCACCAGAGTTAAGAGATCTTAAGATAACCACAGTGAAGATATCTTCATATAGATCTTAAATATAGATTGCAATATCCAAGGGCTTTTCTGTCAGAGTAATTAGAATCTAGAAACAGAAATTATGACAAATTATATAATTTTCAGAAATACATTAACAATGGACAAATCAGTATGATAAAGCTATAAAACCTTATTGAGATAGAAATGTAAATATGAAATAATATGAAATAGGTCTTTTTTTTTTTTTTTTTTTGTACCAGTGATTGAACTCAGGGGCACTCAACCACTAAGCCACATCCAGCCCTATTTTGTATTTTATTTAGAGACAGGGTCTCACTGAGTTGCTTAGCAACTTGCTTTTGCTGAGGCTTGCTTTAAACTTGTAATCTTCCTGCCTCCACCTCCAGAGCTGCTGGGATTACAGGTGTGCCCCACCATGCCTGGAGGAAATAGGTTCTTGATTACAAAGTTTAATATTAATAATATGCCAACTTTCCCCAAAATATCTAAATCCAGTGCAATTACAATTAAATTGCTCAAAGTTTTTTTTTGTTTAAAAAGTGCTCATTGTTTTGAAATAGAAAAGCCAGTTACTAGCTTAGAAAACATATGAAAAAGAATGATGAGACTGACTTGCTTCATCAATATCAGAACCTACTATTGAGCCCCTGTAATTAAATTCACATGGTAAAGATAGTGGATACAGTAGAATGGAGCCTAGGAGCAGCTCCCAATATATATGGCAAGTTAACGGGGACAGATCTGTTTAACTGGAAAAGAACACATCTGGTTAGACACAAATGCCTATGTATTTGGAAGAAAAATATAAGCAGCTTATTACTTCCCACCAAATACGGGCATACATTCTGAATAAATTCAAATCTTTACTCTAAAGCATACCTGCCACCCTCAGACCATCTTCTCCATGAAAATTCCTGGGATTTTGCAAATCAAAAGCAACCTCTCCCTGTCCCCTGAACTTGCAGAGCTTTGGCTGTACCATCTGAGGACACCATGAGGAATAGTTTGAAACTGGGAAAATAAATAAACTGCCTGGTTCACCTTTTCTCACATGCACCTGGTCCAGGCAGAGAAGCCCACGTGCAGAGAACACCCCTCACAGCATGGCTGTTCACTAACACTGCCTAACACAGACCCTCCAGTGAGGGGTAACTACATTTCCCCCCGGGTCTCCCAGTCCTGTCTTATTATACAGCCTCTTTCTTCCCCTCTCCTTGGGCTTCCCAGGCATCGTGCTGAGCCCCTGCCCTGCCTCTTCATTCTGTTTATGATCTCTGATCCCTGCTCTGTTGCTTATGCCTCCCTGCTACTTGCCCCAGGACTGGCTGCTGCTGCTCAAACTTAATCCTCATCCTGATGTCTTGTTATTCCCTTCAGGTGGCTCGTTCTCCATTTCCACAGCTCTAATTAGCCTTAATACTCAGGATTCCCAATTGAGATTTCCAGTCTTTACCTGTTGCATTTATAATCCTCCCCTATATCCTCCTGAATACCTTGTATCCTTATCTCTACCTAACAGCAAGCATAAAATGTGAGAGTGACCTTTGACTCTCATCCTGACTCCACAAGGCATCCTTGCTCACCCTGCAACACAGAGTCTTTGTCAGCCAGATTGGGCTCCTGGACCTGAGAGGTCCAGATCTGCTGCAAATAAAAACTATTTACTAAACATGGACCAATTTGAGGAGGGTGAAAGGCCTGGGAAAGGAGAACTTCAAAAGGTAAGTCAACTGCAAAACAGATCACCTGGATAAAACAAACATTTGTTTAAAGGGAGTGAGGCAAGAAGTATAAAAGCTGTAAGTGGATATTTGGTCCTAATATTGAATGAAATATAGTAAAAGCAATTAAAATAAAGGGAGTGGAAATAGTAAAAGCATCAGGTGTCAGGATTTTAGCCAATCAGCTAAAAGCCAACCTGACTGTTATGCACAATGCTGGGAGTGCCCTGGACCCGGAGTGGGCTGGGAGAGCCTGGCTCAACCCAACATTCCCGGGGACCCCAGGAGGCTGCACACCAAAGTGAGTAGCACTAGCTTCAGACACAGAGGGCTGTCACCAGACTTCCTACTTGCTTTCAGTTGCTTCCAAATCATTTTGCCTTTCATAGTAATAGAGAAAAGGAGAAGAAATGGGAGGGAAAGGAGGAGACATCAAAAAAGCACAACTTGGGGCTGGGGATATAGCTCAGTTGGTAGAGTGCTTGGTCCACACATACAAGGCCCTGGGTTTGATCTCCAGCCCCACAAAAAAATAAAAATAAAAAAGCACAACTCTCTGTCCCCATGAAAGACTGAAGAAGGCAATGGGCTGCCCTTGAGTGAAGTTTCTGGTCACCAGAGACCAACTTACCTCTACTTTTTCTACTACTTGCTTCCCAAAGGAGCACACTTTGGTGGAACAGGTGACTGTCATGTTTTCAGAACTCTCATACTGGCTGGTTACACCATAAAAAGCCCCGGCATCATCTTGGATATTGCAGTTTAAGTCGGCCTGTAGGAAAGGAAATGGGGGCGGGGTTATTCTCTCATCCCAGGAGTCTCACTACTGAGACAGCAATGCCAAGGCAAGGCCATCAGTGACTGAGCCCAGGGGAGAGCCACGTGGAAAAGATGATCTTCTAGAAACAAGGCCAATGCCCAGCAGTCACTTTGTGGAGGGTGCTAATCTGGGCATCTTCCCTTGAAAGGCCCATGCTATGTGTTTCCCTTCTGTGTTGCTTTCTTGCATTCGGTATCAGAATAACACTGTGCCTTTGCAACCAAAGATAAGATTAGCAGTCTCTGAAATGTGTGTAGAGAGTGGGACATAAATTAGACTCATATTCACTAGTCTTCAGAGAGATTTAAAAGAACAGGAGACTCTGCAGCTGATTAGCCATTTGTTATATATGTTAAACAGAAACTTTAAAAGAAATACGGCATCTGGAGGGGAAACAGTTCCTACAAATGGCTGATTTACAAAGATGCTAAATAACTGCCATTCATTTACCACACTGTTAGTAAGTACCTACTGTATGAGGTTCATACTGGATGCTAGATTGGACTTGGTTGCAACCTAACATGGAAGATAGGCACATAAATTAGTTACCATGCAAACAGAAAACAAATACCACGTCAAAGGCACTCAGCTCAGACAACGAAAAGCACTGCTTTTCGCCAAGTCTTAGTTAAGAGACAGCTAGATGAGGGAAGGATGCTTCATTACAGCTATGGTGTAAAGACTAAGGGGACTGGGGGAGAGGAATTTGGAAATGCAACTTGGGCCCCAGTCATAGAGAGCTAGATAAGGAGTGTGGGTTGTATCCTGTAGGAAATGGGGACCGGGGAAAGTTTTGATGTCAAGAAGCAAAGAGATTAGAGCTGTGCTTCAGAGAAAATAGTGTCTTAGCAGGATAAAATATGCGCTGGAGAAGGCTGCTGAAGTGTTCAGACCACTGCTATGATCTGAATGTGTGCCCCAACATTTGTGGGTTGGGTACTTAAATCTCCAAGGCAACAATGTGGGTTCTTCTGGGAGGTGTTTAGGATCCTGCCCTCATGAATGGATGAATGCAGTCTAAAAGGGCCTTCAGGAGGGTTGGGGATATAGCTCAGTTGGTAATATGCTTGCCTTGCATACACAAGGCCCTGGGTTCAATCCCCAGTACCTCCAAAGAGGGGTTGGGGGGCTCCAGGAGTTGGCTTTTGCACCTGTTCCTCTCCCCAAATCTGAGGATGCAGCAAGCCAAGAACAGACCAAGGCAGTCACTGAGAAATGGGTCCCTCCACCCAAACACCTACCAGCTCCCTGCTACACACCAGGCCCTGGATCAAAAGCTGGGCCAGGGCTAGTGCTTCCTCTCCTGGGGCTTGTGATTTAGCAAGGAAGGTATCATAACAGAGAGAAGCCCCCACTGAGAGGGGTACAGAGGGACATGGAAATAAAGAGGAGAGAAGGTCCCCTAGGGGTCAGGAAGGCTCTGACCCTCTGAGGCATCTGGGATCCAAAGAAAGAAGACATGGTTAGGCGAGAGAAAAAGGTCTTGGGAGGGTACACACCCAGAAAGAGGAACTTAAAAAATTTTTTAAAAAAAGGGGGGGGTGGTGGGACAGAGATAGCGAAGGAGAGAATGGGAGGGCTGGGGACTCATATCCTCAGAGCAAAGGCACCTGGGAGTGGAGCAGATGGGGTGGGAGCAGTGCCAAGATCCAAGAGGCACCTCCGACCACAGCTTGGAGAAGATGGGAGACAAAGCAAGAGTGAGTGCAGACAGAGGGGGACACGACTGCCCCCAAATGAGGTGGTAATACACACGGTATCATGACCTGTTGAGACAGAGGTGGGCAGGTTTAATATGCAAATGGGATTTTATATTTTGTGAGGTTTAGCACATTGTGACTAGCTGATTTTAATACTTGGGTAGGTTCCAACCACCACGGACACCTAAGTCATATATATGTTCTACAAAAATATACATTTGGATTTCCTTTCTGAATTGAATACTAGGAAAATGTTCATTCTCATGGGCAACATTTCCTATTTTCTGACTTCAAATAAAGAGAAGCATACATTCTACATTTCCCCCTTCACTTTTCAAGCCAAGAATTCAAAGCCAAATCCAGTGTTCAGCAATTACCTTGTCCCAGGTACTTGTAGTAGCTGGCAACCCCGTGCAGCTCCTTTTACTGATTTCTAGTCTGCTTTCACTTCCCCTTGGTCCAGTTTTATACTATCCATACAGGGAGTGAACTTTCTCACATTTTATTCTTTGGAATTATAGGGGGCATCAATCATAAATAAATAAAATACCCAGAGGTGCATTTTTTCTCACGTTCAAGGTTTTAACATTTGGCTCCACAGAGCAGCTGCTTGGTGGGAACTGATGCAAGCTGAGATCTGCATCTAAGCTTCCCAAGGCTGCAGGTGCTCCAGCCTCCAGGACAGAAAGGCCAGGGAAGCATCCTAGGCACACAGGCGCTCTGGACACTGGCATCACTCTCAAGCTTCCCACATGGCACCTGTGAGTGGCATGCATTAAAGCAGGCCTTCAAGAGAGGCCCTTGCCTTGCTCTGCTTCCAGCTCCGGCATTCTGCAGTGGAGGGATATTAGTGAGGTTCTGCATGCGTGCATCTGCATGTGTGCACAAGAGAGGATTATGCTCTTACTACTCTGGTGTAATTTAGGTCAAAAAGTTTCAGGTCTTTTTGAAAAGTCAAATTAAGTGCATAGTAAGTAGAGAAAAACTGTAAAAATGGTGTGCAATTACATTTCTACTCATGAACTCGTCAACCTTCACAGGAGTAACTAGTGTTTCTCAACTGTCCATTTAGAACTATTTAGCAGATGTCCACATATGTACTTTTTTCTTTTTTTGCACAAATAACATAATTGTAGTCACACTTTGAAATCTTGCTTTTTAAAAAGTAACTATCTTAGTACTCACTACTGATACAAAATATTAACACTAACTTTTTTTTTTTTAAACAGTTTCTAGGGGCTGCATACTGTTCCACAGCACAGACACACCATAATTTAACACATGCTCTGCTGGTGAATGTTTAGGATGTTCTCCAACAATGTGAAGGAAGAAGTTCATGTTAAGCAGGAATGGTGGGCTAGAAAATCTCACTCTTTCAACTTTTTTTCTTTTAACAGTTATTTCAGCTACTTAAAATTTTAAACACAAAGCCTCCAAAAATGAAGAAGAAATGAAGAATGAGAGAACTGAAGCAACTCCAGTTCCACGCTTTCATTGCTGTGCTGTGGCTGCTCACGTTTAACTGAGCCCATGGAAAAAAGAGCATGGTGTGATTGCAGAACCCAAAGCAGGTTCAACTGACTTGAATTGTTAAGAACTTACTCTGCAAATGAATCCCATGCTGTGTCCCTATTACTAAAGGATAAGTAATATAATGGACAAGTGGTGTGTGTGCTTGTTGGAAGCATGTATGTTGTAAAAATGCATATGTAAAATAAAAACTCAACACCAACTTAGCCAATTATTTATGACTTAGACCAAGAAGGGATAGTCTTTTTAGGACTATTTTATCCATGACAACATTTAGAACCATGGGTACATGGTGAGAATAAAAAGGGAGGCTTTTTATTTGGTGATGCTTCTGCCATTGTTTGTAACTTCCCTAGAGACAAACAACGTCCTCATCACCTGCACCTGCTCAGATCCTGCCTCACCTTTGGTTAACCACCATCTCTTAGAACTCTCCAAATAATTCTGCTATAGTTTTAGTTAGGAATGAATGCTTTGTGGTTATAATGATGAGAATTATTAATAGATGATTTGAGAGTTATCTATTATAAAAACCCACCCTCAGAAATCACGGTGACAACTAAGTTCTAAAGTTGTCAGAATTAAGTTCTTTACATAAAATTAAACATCACACACATTCAAAGAAGTGCATCAATCAGAATTTTCCAGCTCAATTACATTTCAAGTGAACCAGCACACAGATGAAGAAACAAAGTCTGTGACATGAGCTATTTTCTAGTCACAACCACCCCCATGTTTCAAGGGTGACTATGAGTCTAAAACATCATACCTTAGTTCTGGGTATTTTTGAGCTTTAAATCAGTGGATTCATGGTGCTCACTCCCATGTTTAGTTTTGTTGGCCCGGCATTTTGTGAGATTCCATCATGTGGCTGTGTGTTCCTCCTCATTATTAAATAGTCCACTGGATGAAAAATGCCATGATCTATCCATTCTACTACTGATAGACATTTGTGATGTTTCCAAATTGGACTTTTTTTTTTCTTTTTAATGAAGCATGTCACTGAGAACATTCTTGGATATGCTTTGGATGAACACACAAATATGTTTCTGTCGGGTGTTCCTAGGACTACAACTGCTGGGTTGTAAGGTGTATGCACATCTATCCTTCGTTTAAGTAACAGGTACAAATACGTTTTGAATTTTCTTGCTGCTGCTTTTTCTTTGCAGTTCGAGAAAACTTTATATTTAACTATTAGTGTGAATTTAATAGGTTAGATGGTAAAAGGCTTCCCAACTAATGGTCATAAGCAATTTGCTATCAATGCTTTGCAATTACCCCTGAACATGGAAAATAATCACGCAGACATTCAACCATATTGCAGCTGCTCTTCAGGAATTTCTAGGAGGAGGTATTGATGTGAAAGATAATTATCTGTCAGCTGATGGTATTAGGACTCTTCCAGAAAGAAATGTGGTCACCGAACTCCCATGGAGCAAAGGTAATATCAAAGAAAGAATGTTAGCGTCAAATCAACAACAAAGGAGGCAAACTCTAATGAGTCTGGAATCCGTGCAGAGCTCATTACCCACCCTACTGACACATTCACCCCAAATGAAAACTCAGGGGGTAAAGCAAACCTATTTTATGTAATGCTGAAGGCAAGAAAATAAGGGGAAAAAAATGTACTGCTCTAAGGATTCAAACTATTTCTGCCTAATCGGCTTTCATCTGACCACAGGATGTTTTCCAAAGCATATAATTGGGAGAGAAAAAAAATAT